GGGCCACGCTCAGGTCCCATTTGCCCTGTCGTCTTCGAAATACATGTGTTCAACCTCACTTATGCCTTCTTCCACCCTATGGGAAGCCTCGGGAAGCTACACTAATATGTATTGTTTTCATAGCTCCTCTTCTTTTAAGTGATTTTCTCGAAAATGCATCATCCTTAATACAACTCCTTTGAAACTGAGTTAGTGAGCTTAACCCTCTCAGAGTCTCCATCTGGATCTGGAGTTATGCTCGGCATGAAAAATGGGGATCAAAGATGGTAAATTCTGCACATCATCAACTACGTTCAGATATAGACGTTGAATCACTTGTCCAAACCATTAGTGGTAATGGGTGTAGCGTCCTCGAGACTTCCCACAGGTTAGAATGCAGTAAGTGGATCAAACCTGAGCTTGGTCTCATAAAGTATTGCAATGGAAAGTACAAGATTTTATCCAGTCTTCTTATGAAGGTGTTTTTACGCAGTTTCGCAATGCTGACATCTGTGTAAAATCGCAGTTGCATGAACTCCAAAACGAAATTTATTAGATCCTCCATGGAAATGAATGGGTTATGTGCTAACAATGGACGGTATTCTCAGTCCTTTCATAGTTGAGAACCTAGAGGTTCTCGTCCGGAAGAATGGGTACTTCTATCATGTCACAAGAATTTGTCGCAATTGGGGGAAATCAAGACTGAATTCTCAACAAAGTATGGTCCCCTTTCTTCTGTCACCGGTTTAGTGTTATTAGGTTTTTCATTAGATATCAAAGGGCATTAGACTAGCCACAAGGAGTGGAGCATTGGGAAATTGTTTGTTGCAGACCCAGCTGGATATTCGTACGAGAGTGCCCGGATAACTGTAGCTGACGGGCAGAAAGTGGTGAGATGGTGACGAGAAATAGCCATTGTCCCCGCCTCTTCGCTACAATTCTCAAATATGTCTTTGTTACACTCAGAAGTCTTGACAGGGTGGATAGGTGAAGTCGCGGTCAACGTCTTCCAAGTTGCATGAAAACTAACTGACCGCGCGGCTAATTCATTTTGATTGTTTTTTTAGATCATTGGATGTGTTGGCGGTTGACCAAGGTCGGCATTGAATAAGACCAAAAAGAGAGGACTATGTGACTGGTTTTACGACTGACTGTATGAGTAGCTCGTTAACACGTCTGGCGCGGGCATTAGTAACGGCAACATAAAGGGAGGTTTTTTTCAAAAGTGTTCTTAATGTAGCTGATTCAAGTATTTCTGCACGGCAATACGAAGATAGAGTTGATGGCGAGCACCTTTGCTGCACTTCATGCGAGTTAAATAGGCATCATGCATACGCATTTATTCACAACGATGTCTCTCTTGCAATTAATGGACACTGATGCAGAGTTTTGGTTATCGTGGGAGAAATGAGATTACCGACACTAGCCAGAGGTCATGCTGCAACAGTTAACTGTAGAGCTGGACAAATTTTGGTATTGTTCATTCGTAATCCTGTTCCACTCAATCCCATATTCATCATCAATTCCATGATTGGACTTTTCGTAGTTCCACTGTATTTCTACTTCGTCCATCATGGCTTTAATTCATATAGGGTGTAGGGTAAAAAGAAATAATGTCCAGCCCCGATAAAATGAAAAGGTACACAAGGGTAAGAACTTTGGTAGTTGTAAATGGGCTACTACCTGAGATACGATGCATTTATCTGCGCTAACTAAATGTTAGTTTGATGCCACCGCCTTCGGAGTCTTATTGGCACATTGAGTATTTGAATTGGAAATGGCTCTAAGTGGTATTTTACTCAATTTTTTAGCCTTCATCTGTGTCTGTAAATGGCAAAACCAATACTGCATTCATCAATTTTCAGCAGTACAGGAAGATAATCTTTTCATAAATGCTTTATTTGCCTTAACAATTCTACTCAATCACGTCAGGAAGCAATTACTGGCGTACCGACAAAGGAAGACGATTTCATCTCCATTTCTCTAAGACAAATCTTGCTCACATGATACACACATTGGAGTAGAAGTGACATCGTTGCTTTCTTTGCTAAATTTTGTGCAAGACTTGCCTGTGCTAATTAATTCCAGGTTGTCAAAGATGTAGCTATGTAGGATACTTCTTAGGTCAGTTCCACCATGTACCAGTAGCATAAAAATACGAATGAAAACACCATGATCATTAACAAAGTCATACGGCTCGTTTTCGCTGCGGACCAGTGCTGCTGTATTTAGGAATTTGTTTCACGTACACTTCTATCGCATACCTCGTGCAAGAATGGACATGTAAAGAAATTTACTTTGTGCTCAACTGAACTTGACTGTTTGAAGGTAAGAACAGCATAGGAACCACAGAAGTAGTTCGAGTTCTAGTCATTCGGTTTGTCTGAAACGCCTTGTTCGTGAGGTAATCCATGGTTTCCTTCTGATGCTCAAAACTGGCTGACTCAAAGTGATACCTGGCTTTGATCAAATGCTTCCCGACTAAAACATTTAAAACTCAGCATTTCAAAAACTCAAATAATCCACGTAAGCGGTTGCGAAGTACCTTTACCATAAACAACCTCATGATGATGGCGCCAACTTCAGCAGAACACGCTTCCAAATCAAATGATTAAGTTGAATTTTCAAACTGCGAACAACCTACTCTATAGTATTATTCAAGCTTCAATGACGAAGAGAATGGAGTCCATCAGCAGTACGCAAAGCTGAAGAAGCGTGAGACAAGCGCAACTGAATCAACATCGAGTTCGTGTGATTCATCTCCGAAAAGGAGGTAGTTGGATAACAAACAGAAGAATCGCAAAGCAAACACAATCGCCCTACCTCACCTGCTCGCTTGCGCACTCGAGAATGTGGCAATAAGCAGGCGGTTCTCCGCCTGTGATTGGTCCGATTCAGTATCACCGGCCAATGAGAGTTGTACGTGGTGCTAGGCGTCACAAAACTCAATCGCTCTTACACCTCATGGCTTGGCACCAGGTCAAAACTGTGGATGGACATGTATGAGTACCACCCCGGAATAACAGTGGTCAATTCCTCTTACGGATACAACGATCCTCAGCTTATTCGTCAACGAAGTGATAAAGTTAGTTAAACCCTTTTAAAAGCTTGCACATTGCACTCCTACAGCCATGGCTTTAGTAGTAACAATTTGTGTCTCTTTCAAAATGCGTGCTGCTTTAACCAAAACTTGCCGTATAAATCTAATACCTTTCGCCGAATTTTACCTAAAACAGTTTAAAGCAGATACACGGGTGTGAATAGCAGTGAACATGGCTCAAGACTTGGTAATGGGTAAGTCAGAACTAGTGATAGAAAGGAATGAACAATCTGCATTAGCTGTTGAGCAATAGGTAATGTAATTTGAAGTGGGTGACCATAAAGGGTTCAGTGTATCATCCACTGCACCTATGTTCATAGGGGCCAGAAGTGAGTCAGCACCTGTGTGTTTGTGTGTGCACACTTCTTCCTGATGTAATAAATCTGAGCGTGCACACAATATTCCCGATGTCAAGTTTATAATGTCTTTGAATGCTGATTTAGACATGAAAAGTATGGAAGGCATTGCGAACTTAACAGTCGATCGAGGTTTGACAAAGGCCTTCTATGTATGCAAATTGCTTTATTAGCCAGCTGATGAGAAGAAAGAGAGCATCTGCCCGATGCCGCGATGTAGACCAGCAAGGTCGTCAGCATGGAAGTTTTGGGCGGTGGCACTGAGTCTGATCATCGTCCTCTGCTTCATTGGAATTGCTCTGTGGGTGGCATGGACGCGTTCCAACTCGAACGTTGTGAAAACTGACGAAGGACCACAGGGACCTGAGCTGCCGCCTGCTATCTGCTACAAATGCAACAACTATGCCCACATCATGGACGGCCGCGAGCTCAACTCAAACATAGACGTGGAGCACAGTAAGGGCGGTGCGGCCGAGGTGGGAGGAGCCCTAGGCGTTGCAGTAGATGTGGATGATCCGAGGCAGGAGCTCTGCCAGGAATTCGTCAACAGAACCGCTTTGGCCGAGACGCAATCCCCCGCAGATGATGACTGTGGTGACAGCCTGTACAACGGGTGCTTCAAAATGGTCACCAAGAGCTATCGACTTACTTCCAATGTTGGACGTGAGCAACTGAGTGTCACAATTGTCACGCGAAATTGTGTCGAAATACCACGCAGCATTCCACTAGGCTGTTATAAAACCTTTGGTGGAGCAGGAATGGAAAGAGAGACCTGCTATTGCAAAGGAAATTATTGTAATGCAGGAATGATTAGCCGCCACTCAACCCTACTGGGATCAGCAATTCTCTTGATTACTGCCTACCTAATTTAATAAACTTTTTCAAATACAGCGATCCAGTTATCTAGCTTTATGACGTCGGATTTCAACCACATTTGTTACAGACCTGACACCAAACAGAGAACTGTGTTTTCATCTTAGAGGACGAGAAATTGGCAAAAATCTATCACACAATCACTTCAGAATGCGTGTCAACGTTATACCGCCAGACTAATTGTCGGTCAGAGTTTAGAGCATAGCAGTTGCATTGTCCACAACATTCTATGAACACGAGTGTTACCGTAGCAGTTAAGCTATCCGACAATCCCAGGCCACCTTAGCAATAGCCGATCGCCAATTGAACCGGGTGGTTCAAGCTCCGAGTCAAAAGTGAAAAAAAAAACGAAACATTTACCAAGAATTGTTATAAAAAAACCGGTACTAAGAATAAGTGAGATAACACTGCTGTTAAGCGCATCAAGGAAGCAGGACCAGTCTGAATGGCTCTTATGGAATGATATTCTTAAAAAGAGCCAAAACCTCTAACAGCAATTCCTTTTGCTGTTCGCATGGAATCAGCAAAAGCCGATCTTGTAGAGCTCCAAGCATTCCACGCACCTGCCCGATGGCGTCATCTTGTGCTACATTCTCCACCGTGGTCTCAACGCCGGCATCAACCAAAGCAGTATCCATCTGTTTGTTATATACTTCTGTTGCTCTCTTGTGTCTCTCAGGCTGAAATAGGGAAACCGTAGTTATATTTCAAGTTAACGCACTACAATAAAAGGAGTATTTTTGAGACTACGCTTGTAACGGTAAAATGGACATGATTTGAGGCTGTAGATAGCGTTCGGTGCCACAGAGAAGCACAAATAACAACCTCGAACTAATCGATCTTTCAAACCACGTAAAAACCTTTTCCTTTGGCCTAACTCAAGATGAAACACACAGGTTGGAGTAGAGTAGACCGAGGGTACAACCTTAAGCAGAGAGTGGGTAGTGGTGGGCAACCACTCACTGCAGGGTTGTCTATTGAGAACACGCAACAAGTTCTTCAAGAAACGTAGACACGACAACACGCGATAACAAGCATAGCAGCAGTAGGTTACTTAGCGTTACTATAACATCAAGGAAGTCACCGCAATACTCTAAGCAAAATCTTCAATGCAACTAGTCGAATGAGAAATCTAGGAGATGACGGTTCTTGCAATAAAACCTGACGTTAGACTCTTCTCAACCGATAAAACTGGGACAATGAGGAACTTCGAACCGATGTTCTCAGATTTGAACATGCAACATCCACAACTGGTAATCTCAAATAGTTTAGAGTACCAAGAAATTGACGAACCTGTTCACTATTTTGCTCTGCTTCAGTGTCCGAAACAATAATCACCTCGACGTCACCCGGTCCTTGACCGCCTCCAACCACGTCTTCGTTATTCATATCCTTCTCATTGTCTTTCTCAGTCACTTGACCGAGAGGAACGGCTTGAACGACCGAAGTTGTCACATCAGCTAACACATCCCTGTCGACTTCAGCTATCGATGGGTCTTCGCGCTGAGACGCAGTCGGCATTTTCGCCACGGGTGACGAGTCCTGTGAAAGCTTGGAGTCGACGATCTGGAGGGGAGAAGTGAGGGCGTCCAGATCGACCTCGGTGCCTCTTACTCTTGTTGATGCAGAGGGTACACGAGAGGACGCGCAATCGCCCGAACCTAAAGGTGGATGTAAGAGAGGGCTAGCATTTCCAGAGCCGCCTAATGGAGAACGCAGAGTCCCTCTCGACGCACGATTGATAGGAGCACGACGTCTCGGTGGGGTCGACTTGCGACGACGATTTACCATCGGAGAAGAAAGTGATGGTGGAGAGTAACTCTCCATGTGACGAGTCTCAATATCCTTATTGCTAAAGATTAGAAAAGTAATTTCATAAAAATCGCAAATCCTAAAGTAGGTAGCAAGTTTTTCGGGTAAAATATAACCAATGACCATGTATAGCACCCATCTATTCCCATTCAATCTACTTAAGCTTATCATTCGCAAATCAAGGTACCCATCGGGCTGATCGTGTAAGAGAGCCGTGTCAACCGAGGGATAGGCCACCTCTGTTCGTTGCAAGTACTGAGGATCAGAAACAGCAATCTCTCCAGGGGTGGATGGAGGAGGCGCAACTGAGTATGTTTTTGACGTAGATGAATCAATTCCTTTTAGCCACAAAGTGCTAGGCGATGATTCGGAAGAATCAAGAATAAAGACCGTTGGTTGCTCAACAAAAGATACACGAGTCTTCGGCCTTGGCGTAGTAATATCTCGCAGAATGCCTAGGCAGATGTTAACCATAATCAGGGATACTTGGAATAAAAGGGAGGAGGCACTGAACGTAAGCAAACTAAAGAAGATAGCATCAAAGCTTTTAAGATGATCTTACCAGATCTCAGACCGGGTGAATCTGACTGCTTCACACTTGGAGATGTTACAGGAGAAGTAAATTGTGAATTAATTCTCATTCCTGGAAACAACACTCGCTGTCTGTTCCTTTCCGCAGCCTTCGCCAGGCCCATTTCGAGAATTCTTTGTGCTCTTAGACCCGCCGGCCCTATGTAAGTAGGTGAGAGCAAAAAGAATGCAGCATTCAGCTTGCGTAAGACAAAGGAAGATACTGTGGAACAGTGACAGTGAAACATCATGCATTGTAGACGATGCGCAGCGGTAACTTTTCGACGCGATCGGTCAAACGCCGTGTTAAATCCTATTGTTTGCACTCAAATTATTACAGAAACTACACCGAACAAAAGTATGTTAACGTAAGGTGAGTACTTTCCCTAGTAAAACATCATTCACATATCGCCTGATACTATACGGTATTTATGACTTCCAATTAATGGAATGTTCCCTGTATCGCGCGAAAGAGGTAGTATCAGTCCGGTGCCTCATATACCGAAAAAACCCAACAGAAATCCAAGTAGTACCCCGTTTTGGGTATTGCTTTCTAAACATAACGCCCTCAATGAAGCGTGCACATTCGTATCTCGTGGAAAGTTTATAAAAAACTTTATTAAGGTTACCATTCATGGTCACACAGTGATTCTACCCTGTCACACTTCATTGATCGATTTCACAAAACCTGCTTTCATTTCGTTTTGGGGCGGTCCTCAATGAATTTCTTAAAAATAAAGGAAAAGACGAACTTTCCAAGAGAAAGTTTCTCAATTGAACGCCCTTTCACTTTTTACCCTAATAGTAGTACGCTGGCACACTCCAGTTTAAATTCAGAATGATTGGTGAAATTTGGACTTGAGAGACTTCTTACTTCCAAGAAGAGGACTCCTTAGCACAGCCAAGCCAGAGCAAGATACCACCGGCGAGGCCGAGAGCATCGACGAGGGAGGTGACGAAGAGTGTGAGTTTTGCCGAGGACTGGCTGCTGACGCATGCCCAGTCGATGTCACGTTGAACTGCGAAGGGTTTGTGCCTACTACGATAGCAACTTCCTCTTTCGCTCCCGCAACATCATCTTCAGGAACACTTTTTGGCTCCCCAAGTTCTAAGCACATGGGCGCCTCCTCTACAGATTTCCAGAAATTTGGTGAATGCAATTATAATAAGTAAAGAGGTTACTAATAATTGCACAGCTGAAGAGGCAGGAGAATAAAAAGGTTTGCGTTATTTAAACCACAGAGGATTACAGCCGACGAAGCTTACCTTCGAATGCCGGACCAAGCAAAGACCCATCGACAGCTGTTTTGGCACTCTGAAGAAAGAAATTATTAGAAGCTACTAACTAAGAAACGCTTCAGAAGAGAGAAGAGTACCTACCTGAGGAGACACGTTTGAAATGTTGGCTGACATCATCGACGCATCCTTCTGGAGTCCTTGTGTTGGTTCAAACGAAACTGCGGTATCACTAAAATGACACCAAGCCGGAAGTTAAGTGCAACAAAACCACCCACCAGCACACCTCAGTGTCTATTCGAGGATGGTGATAAAGTAAAGGGGCAGAGCATAAGCTACTTAGCATCCAAAAATCCTCCGAACTGAAATATACAACAGCTGCTAAGACATAAAAATGGTGTAGAACTACACACCCAGACGACGTGCCGGCGATGGCATTTGCAGCTTTCGGTGAGAGAGCTGGTGGTTGAGAATCTGCAATTGTAAGTGACGCAAGTGCTCCAACCGATTGAGCCTGAGCCTTAGGTCGGGCTGGAGCCCTTAACGACTGCGAAGAAGACGAGCTAATCGGAGAATATACACTCGAACTTGCAGAGACCTTGCTAATATCCAGGTTGTTATACATGGCAGGAAGATAGGCTTGTCTATAAGCCATTGGGAAAGCCTATTTAAAATTCCAGAGCAAAAAACTACAAAGACGGAAGCAAAAAAAGTACCTTTGTTCACGTCGGCGCTCTTTCTGGTGATCAGTAAGACGCATACGTTTGCTAGCGCAATTTGACGGAGGAATGAAGACAAACTTAATGCAAAGACAAAAAATCAAATCCATAACCCATAGAACACCACAAATGACAAATAATTCGCTCAAATCATTCAGTACTTCATACGATTTAAAAAAAATTGGAATTAGTACCACTGCGTCTTTCCGCAAGAAGGAATTTCAAAGGTCACGAAAATGGGGTGAAGCAACAACACTAATGACGCAGTCTAAGAAGTAGGTAAAGTAACTAGTTAATCAATGATGCTGGCAAGTAGCACCTTCCGAGAGAAACAATCCACAGTACCTGAGCAGAATCTTCAAAATCTGCCAAGTTGGGCGGGAGCCTGTAGTCTGATTTGCCTGGATTTAATCTCTTTCTACTACGAGGGGAAGGCAACACCTTCGACATTGCAGAAGTAGCTGAAGCGACAACACCGATAATATCATCATCTTCATCAGAAAAGAGGCGACGTTGAACCTGCTGAGGGACTGATGCAACACAACAAAGATTCGTGACAATGTGTGATGTGTTAGCAGCAGCTAATACAAGCAAAAACAGACTAAAACTATGAAAGAGGTCCCAAAGGGCATAAAGCTTACGTCATGAAGAGAAAATCAGATAAATCAGGTTAGGCAAGCACACCAGAATGTGCCACTTCACAATTCTCGGTTCCGTGAACAATAAGGCATGGTAGGAGCATACCTATGGTCATAGGATAACGTTAAAGAGGCTCCGGCATAGGTTCTTATCCAAAAGTGACAGATCCGCATCATTGTAAACAGCTACCGTGTGAACTATTAATACACTGCAATTGAGGGAACAAGAAGCATACAAGGTTGAGGAGCTGTCTGAGATGCAGCTAGAGAGGGTCTCCTGCGAGCTAAGATAAAGGCTCGCCGAGGAGGGAGGGACTCCCGAGGATCTGTTGCGGTGCATAGGCGGCGTGAAGCCAAAAATGAGTCACACATTGACTGCTTCGGGGTTGTTTGGGAAGAAGAGATCTGGGAAGTTTCGGTGACACCATCGTGGTTAGGAGTGGTCTCCTGTGCCCGCTCTAAGTGGTTTTCTTGCTTACACCCCTGAAACACGAACTAATACGCAGATCCACGCTTCATGTAAGTAAATCGACCATCAGCTTCCCTTGCATCATGCAACACAAAAAAACGCCAATAAAAAAAATGAAAAAATTTCATTCCTTTTGGCTGCTTTACCTTTGCATAAATTACTACTAGGTATCATTTTAGTACATAAATCTAGTTGGTACAATCAAGACGAAGTATCTGACGATGATTTTGACTATTCTCACAATAAATCAATAAAAAGATATCTTTGGAACAAGCATTAACATCAAGCCTTCAAAAAGTCAATACTGATCAGATAATCAAGAAAAGTTCGGAAAACCAAAGCAAAACCAGCTTCAAAAATGCTGTTAGTAAAATGGACACAACTCGACCAGTCCACATTTGCATGACTTTCGCCATTGCATGAATTTGGGTTTCGAAGACATGTCTGCCTTATGAAGTTTCATAGGAGGGGTTACCTCTTCTGGTTCCTTTTCATTAGCAGTGGGCAATTTTCCAGAAGCTTTGCGAGTCTTTTGGATTAAAGTTTTTTTTGCGGAACTGTAAGGTGGGTCGTTTCCTGCTTCACTTTGCTCCACCTCTCGCCCTAGTAGGATGGTGGGCGAAATCCAGTCAGGAAAAGTAACACGACGATATAGCGAGATCTGAGGCGAAACTACGACTAAACATTTGGAGAATTGACCCGTCAGGCTACGAATTCGGTCTCGCAGATCAGCTGCATCAGCTGGCGCCGAGACGACCAACGTGTCCCACAACGACACAATGCACATGATGAAAACTTTACGACGGCGCGAAATGATGGCTTCTAGACAAGATGAAAAGTAACAGCATCGCTTGTAACGACCTATATCGAGCATTTGCAGTACTAACTGCTAAAACTTGCATTGACACTCATTGCTATGAGGAAAACTATGGAACTCAAATTGCAGAAAATAAAAAAGATTAAGAGGAAAACCGTCTAATTAAAATGCAAAAGCTGTAACTAACAATGAGAAGCTTAGCATAGTTTACCACGCTCTGGTGAGATGGGCGAACTTGGACTTTTCGCTGCAGCAGCAAGCCGGTACTCAAGAGCCGAGAAAGGACTTGAAGCCAGATAAACTGCAGCCTCAAAGAATACCAATAACTGACGAACTGCGTGTTGCGGTAGTTCCAAGGGCTTCAATTCCTGCTCTTTCTGCTGCTGAAGACTTTCAACTACGCCAGGTTTGCAGAAACACTTCTGAAGGCGATTCCAAGCAAGAGTAACGAAAGCCTCGAACTGAATGCAAGTACAGCAGCACTGTCATTGCAAGCCCAATTATTTTGGCAAAAAGTAAATGCAGTCAAACTCACTGCAGTTACAATGATCGCAGGAACCTCGTCATCTCTGAAAAGAGTACAGGTTGAGTTGAGCCGTTTGGCAAGAGTGAGCAGACCCGTAGAGGAGAGCTCAATCAACGTGAGGAGTGTTTCTACGGAACGTATGTGTCGCTAAAACAGGCAATGATCAGTTGAACTGCTACCGAAACCCCTTACGACATCCCGATAACTAGCAAAGCGAATAAACTTAATGGATCTAACCACTGAGGTAAATATGTTACAAGCATAAGGCACGTACATGAGATAAACAAAGAAACAGAAAATAGGTTCATCACTCTAAACCACAAGTTATGGCTAGAAAGGCGCATTTTTTCGAACGTGTAAGCAAAACTGACCTGCAAAATAAGAAAAAGGGAATGTAGAAGATTGCAAGTTACTGATTGGACTGTATGTGAATCTTGATCCTGCTCTTCACCTTCCCAAAAGACCATCTCATAGAGTTTTGTTGGAGATTGTGGTCCATCAGTGGGTACATGCGAGCCTAGTAAATTTCGAGTCCGACTGCTATGCCGCCGTGTTGGTGGAAGAAACACCGAGTTGCAGACTGACATCTGCAAGGGCCAAGGTAGCAAAATAATTGTTGATAACTCTCAACACGAAATTTGACATAGACACTATCAGTCAATTCAACCTTTAACACAGGCTTTGAGAACACATATGAATTAGACTTCAACACAAGCAGTCGCACTGTGTTCACTTATACGCTGAATACGAACCTCGAAATGTTCCAACGGCATGACACCTAGGCAGCAAGAAATGGCATTCACAGGTCCTGTCATTTGACCCAACGGTCTGTCTTTCTGAACGCGCCACTTCGAAGGACTAAAAGGGTCTTGAATTAAAAAGGGACAAATCAATCAAGTTGTATACTAAATTATTTGAAAACACTTATTTGAAGAATAGCCGGGAAAGCTTATAAAAGCAACACAAGAAACAAGTATGCACATGCGACTGCCCGAACCAAGAGAAGTCAAATTGCTGAACATAACGCCTCAGTACAATGGCGTTTCCAATGATGCCTTAAAATATGAGAGGTTCAAGACGAGACCCACCTTTGAAGTTTTCCTCAATTCCTTCGGCAGATTTGACCATAAAGGAGACGAAGTTGGAGACAATGCGCATATTTATTTTCTTTCCAAACTACGTAAAAGGAAAATCCGACTTACAATTAGGGTAAATGGGTCTATACGCCAGTAGACGCCAAGCCTTACCTCAGAAGTGTCATTTTGAATTAACGCGATGATCAAGTCACTAATTTTGTCGATCCATGAATTTACAGGAATACTTGTGAGAAGGCACGCCTCCGTATGCAGAACGCGAAAGAGACCGAACAGTGCACTCAACACTTTCTGCTCCAGTTCGGGCTAAACAAAACAGTTTGCTACAATTAAAAAAAAAATGTGCAATGGGAGGGCGAAGAAACAACTAACCGAAGGAGGAGCTGTTGAGCTACCAGCAAGGAACGTGGGGGCCAGGCAGAAAGCAAACATCGTCGGAAAGTCAGAAACCAAATTTTCTACTTCCTTTGTTCCAGACTTTGGTGGATCGGTCACTCTATGTGCAACAGTGAGTTGAGTGAGGCGATCAGTCAAGGAAACCCACACTTGCAGTCCTGCTCCATTCGCTCTTGCGGTATTCAGCGTCAAGCTCACACCTAAGGGATAATAACAAATTAGCCAATATTACCTGTGGCTCCATATCTCTTGAATTATAACGAACTTCTTAGGTAAAGATATTTATGCAAACGAAGTATGCCACTACAGTAAAGGGAGAAGAATGAGTGGACCGATGAAGCACTGTGAATCTACTTGATCGACTGCTAAAAAAGACAGTCGATAAAGACATAATCATTACAGGGAACTTACTGGATGAGGGAATGCAATAGAGAGTATCGAGGAGTTTAAGATGCCTATCAACGAAATCGACACACTCGGGAACGAGTCGCACAAGAAGTGCACGAAGAAGTTTGAGATTGCCACCCGCGGTTGCAGCGATATTATCTTTCACGGCTAACCGAGCATCTTTTTCCACCGACTCCACAGCCAAAAGACTAACGGCCTTCATGATACTAAATGGAGGGAAATTAAGACGTTCAATCGAGGTATTATCAACTGCGAACAGTTTATAACAGAAAAATTGGAACTTTATGTAACGATGAAAACAACTTTCCAAAGTGTATGAGGTGAACCTAAAAACTACTGCACTCACAATCTACATATGAATGCTTTCGGTGGATGGCATCATCATGTCTCAAATTACTAGTGACATAAAGTTAAATGTACATATTGCGAGACCTAGGAAACGCAGACCTTAACGGAAAAATCAATGTTGGTGGAAAAATGAAATGCAAATTTAGGACCCGCCAATTTGTTGGGAAAAAACCAGATGAATGCATAACCACTTTAAATGAGACAAAATCTCATATTTTGACAGACCAAAAAGGCAATTAAACAGCATTTGAAGGGCAAAAGTGAACCTACTCGTCCTGAGCCGAATCAGCAATTAAATCAGATGAACAACAGTCACGGTGCCAAGCTGAGATAAGATTTAAGCAAGAGGCACATATGTCGTAGTTCAGAGCAGACTTCAACTCCAAGGGCAGCTTCTCAAAATCCAAAGAGTCAGCTATTTCATGAAGAATAGTCTGGAATTAAAGTAACCCTCAAGTATGATCAACACCAATTTATATGTATAGGAAAGTATGCTAGTTATCTTACGATACAATCACCAGGAGTAGGGTTTTGAGAAATATCGATATCGGAAGGTTCGATTAATGAGCCCGAGGAGGATGGATCATCACACGGCGTCTGCGAAGAGACAAGGCGGAGGGAGAGATCGAGAATCTGCTGCATAAACACCTTCTTAAACGCCTCCTTTCGTCAAAAAAAGAAGTACAGTAAAATGGAGATAATAAACGGTTTTAAGGTACATAAAAAACGTACGTCATTAGGTTTACAAACAGAAATCGCATGTCTAATGCACTTGAGACACTTGACCCAGATATCAGCAACCTTCTGGTCTCCAACGCACCTACCCGAACCGCTCAAATAACGAAGCCAGTGGAAGACCGCCACCAAAAGCTGATAGTTGTGTTCGGAAAGAAACGAGGAGGAAAGGACAAGTTTGGGTACTAAACCAAGCATCCAGTAAGCACCATCACATGGGTGTCACGATGATAAAGGAGAAAAACCTACATTTTTCTTTCTTCAAGAAGACTTCAGGCTCTAGTTCAGGATATTCAAAAATGCAGGAAAAAACATAAGCAGCAAGGTCTTGGGCGGTAACATCCCCATTATAAACCGAGGTTGAACTGAGTTGATATCGGTGAAAATTCGCTGAAAAAAATTGTGATAATACATGGAAAGTTAAACGAACGTCAAACGCAAACCAAACAAACATACGATCTCCGAGGCAAGCAGTGATGCTGATGTAACGACCCAAGAGGTTTGCGAGAAACGGAGACACAAACTGAAGAGTGAGGTATTTTTCACATTAATTTTTCTAAATGCATACAAGAAGTGCACAGGGGCACAACTTACACGACGAAATCCATCAGAGAGCATTTTTTCCGGGAGAATACACAAAAATCTCCACCAAGCGAGCAACCGTAAGGTGGAATGAGCAACACCAATGGGGAAGGCGCGAAGAACATCAAAAAACTTCATGTACACTTGGGGAGTCATAGTACTTTTTAGACCTAAACGTAGGCTTGAGAAAATGGACGTACCAGACATTTCAACTTGTTGCAACAGAAGGGAGAACAGAGTCAACGCAGCGTTCGGATTCTGTGCCTCCTGTAACTTTGCACTAGCGCTTGAGGGCGAGACCCGTAGGAGGCACAAGAGGAAGTCCACAAAGGAAACGTACAGCCCTGTGGACAGAAAAACCTAATGCAACCGCATTGTGAAAATATCAAATGATAAACCTTTGGACAGAGGTGAATGATTCCTTGCAAAACGACCAGCGCGGCTGCACCGTTGCACTTGAAAAACTTGAGTATGAATGACACAACCACCTATCGGTTTGCGACTGTTTTGAGGGCATACCTTTAATTCTTCACATAGGTCGTCAAATGCACAAAATGCATTTGAGTGATTTCGGAGTATTGATGACGAGAGATTTGCCAACATTTGCACGAAATCGCCATAGGTATGTCGAACGAAAGGAAGGACGTCTTTAACGAATCGGAAAAAGCCTTTGTAGTCACAAAGCCCAATCGTTGCATCTGGCTTGGAACTAGAGTCAAGAACCCTACGGAAAATACGAACAGACAAAATACACCAACACAAGCCACAGAGGCAGTATGCACTTGTAAAATAGGGTGAGAATTGCCACAAGACATTTGGTAACATACCTAAGAACAAACTCCGAAAAGTCTAGCGCAATTGACATATCCTGTAAGCGCCTCTTAACGACCGCACTATCAAGGCGTAGCTCAGCAAATGCTCGAACCTCGAAGCAGTATTAGCTAAAAAATAAGCTCACTGTAGCTGGAGGATTAGAAATTAATACCACGGTTATTTTGCAGAGGAAATCATTGAGACACAACCTCCAGAAATCAGAATCGACGTGCCTGTACATGCACTTGAAAATGGCAGCAGCCAAACAGCAAACCTCATCTTGGGAGAAAGGCGCTCTAGTATATTGCCGCCTATCACAAAACATACCCCAAAGAAAGAAGAGCAACGCATAGCTTGACCACTAACGTGCACTCTTCCAAATTTGAATTCGAGAGTCGCGAAAGCACCCCTCTGTCTCCGGTCAGAAATGCGCCAAAATCTATGCTACCAAACGTGCGGCTACGGCCGGAGAGAAGCCTGAGCATCACAATCGACAATAATAGTACCTTCGTAAGTCGTTCAAAGCAGTGAAAAATGACTGGGAATTATTCGACACTTCCAAGCATCTCTTCAGAGCGTTCTCCATTTTAGGCTTCAGCACTGAAACACTAATGTCAAAAAAACGTGTGCAATAACGATCACTAGCACTAAGTAGTAACGAGATCAGGCAAAGTAAAATTAAGACATCGGATTTTCAGGAAATAACATGTCCCATAAAACAACAAAGTTAAGAAAAACCAGAGAAACACCAGCTAGCACCAATCCAAATTTTACCGCGATTCGAGTTCCGAATGACCCGCACTTAGTCTCAGTTTGCATTATCAATTTGACCCAGTGGCCATTCACTATCGATACAGTTGTATAACATTAATTTTAAAAACAAAATGCGCCAAAATTACTGCACATTTATCTTGGGGTCTACAGTGCTCACTGACTTTAAAAAATGTTTATTAAAGCTTTTCAGTTAAGTAGTAGTGCTGCTCTTACGTCTTGTCGAATTAGTTTTATGGTGATAAAAATTTCACACTTCCTAACCTCGGAATAAACGTAACGTCTACCATCTACTTCCATCCCAAGAACCACTTGTTGGTCAAAGTCCTTGCATAAAAAACGTCGTACACCGTTTAAAGACTTATTTGAAGGTTGAGGAAAATATAGTGCTTAAGTAGGATATATACTCAACAAAAGAATAGGGTGTCTGAGCTGATGACATGGCTGAGGTGAGTTGACCACCTTAGCGACCGGAAACTGAATCGGTATTCAAACGAGCAAGGTGTTACCTATCATACCCGTCATTTAATCGACATTAAATGCTCTTTTATAGGCTATTCTGTCAGCCGTAGGCTTAAGCCTTCCTGGTCAATCTAAATTATACCGTGTGTATCCCAAATGAAATTCTTAAGAACCCGAATTCAGTACAGATATGTGATATAATTTAACCGATTATCGCACCACATCAAAGTTTATGTATTTTCGCATCTGTTTTGTTTTGACCTTTCAGTATTTTATTTTTAAAAAGGAATCACGCGAATGGGATCCATGTGCTTGGAATTATTTTCTTTCGCATTTTTGACCTATTGGTGACAAGGTGACAGTTGACCTAATCATCTTGACACAAGCGACGTGTCATGCTATTGTCACAATGCGTTACACAGGCTCGCACACCGACCCAACGTATCCATCCCTATTAGTGGGGGTTGACAACTTTGTGCCCAACTTGCGGATGGCCCCCACGGAATTTGTGGGCGCGTGACAAGCATTTCAACCTAAGCAAATAAACTGCAATTTTTTTGATGACTCATGCTAATCTTCGTTACCCACGATGTCCAGCAAAACGCTGAGATATTTGTAGAATTTTTATTTTTTTCTGTGTAACTTCAAGCTATTTTACCGGCGGTTTCTATTTTAAATATCTTTCGCAGATTGCATCCATAAGCTAAGTTGTAAAAAATCTGAACTTGAGCTTTCACCTGGAAAACTTCCTCCTTGGCAAAATAAATCTAAAATGACGGTGTTGTGCACGCAAACAATGTGTGACTTTAACCATGGATTCAGAGTTCCAAAGCATGATCCTACATTTCTAATTCAGTCCATATGATCCTGAAGTATTTGCTGTAACATTGCCTCAGAAGTAATGCAAGGGATGTGGCGTTTTAGCTTCTGTAGAGCTTGAAACGTTATAAAAAGGAGGTGGGATCGTCGAACCAACCCTCTTTCCTTCGTATGGTTGTAAAGCCATTGCCACTGCAGTGCCTTCAAAATAAAACATTGATTTCAGGCAGTCTCAAATTTTATATTAACATGATATCCTGCATTGTTCAGTGTTTACGGCCAGAAGGAGGAGGGTAAGATCTAGCGGTGTAGGCCTTTCTGCATTCTCCTCTCCTTTCCTTCAGTTACACCTAAGGGCAGAAATTTGACTGTTTTAAAAGGGAGGTGGTGTAATGGCTCAGTAAACGTCAGTGGGATCGTCTCGTTCCTCGCGAACGAGAGTTGAGCTATTCCGCCTAAAAGATTAATTAATTCTGTAATGCTGACCGTAACGGATACTAGCAGCCAAATGAACAAAGCATTACAACTGCATTATTCAGTTGTAAAATACTGTACCATCAAGTCTGCTAAGCTGTGTAGCTGTTCACATTTGTGAGCAAGGCTTTTTTGAAATTAGAAAGGTTTTGCATGGGTCATTGTTACGGTAGGTCGAAAGAAAGATCAGGCTGGTGGCCAGTTTAGAAGTGGTACAGGTGGATCGCCGATGGTAAACATAGGGTAACAAATAAATGGTTATAAACGGGTCTTCCCCCAAGTGGGTTCCGAAAATCCGGCTGCACATTTTTGTACTGTTAAGCATGCGTTTTTTTGCAAAAATGAGTTACTGAGACTTATTTTGAGGAATAAAATGTGTTCAGGAGGTTAAAACACTTTTTTTTAGAATATCGTTAAACCATCGCTATTATTATTTTTATTTTTTTCCTACCAGCAAGGAATGTGCCATATTTTAAAGTCATCAGTATGAACGAATGGAAGAATGGGCATTGCTTATGGGGTGTGTTTGATTCGAGGCACTTCTTGGCAAAATGGACCGAAGGTTGGTTCAGTCTATTGGACCGAACTTTTTTTCTCCGTGGAATCCCATTAACCGCTCAATTTGTCAAGAGGCTCCGTCTAGACAGACAACAGGTAGGACGAATTTTGGCAAGTCGCTCCCCTTTTGGGGAGTAGTTTTTCTCAAAGTTAACCTATTCATAACGAGCTTTGATAAAATTCCATAATTTACCAGCTTCCATCTTGCAATTTGTCTGTGCTTACCTTAAGATCGGTGCGATGTAAGTATGAGGTGCGGTTTCCACTAGATATCAGCCAATTTAGATAAACATTCGTTTCACTTGCATAAAGGTGATGAGGATGTGAATTATGATTTAGGTTTTAAGGAACATTAAATGAAATGTCCGCGCATCTCACCATTTCAATGATGTTGAAAAATAAGTAGTCAACAGTGATAACGTTAAAGGGCTCTGAACCGCACGTGCGACTACATTTGAAATTGCTGACGTTACTATCAAACAGTGCGGGACTTGTGACTGCTCCCCGCATGGCAGCAAGTTGTTCTTCTGTTATCCCGCTGTCGTCAATGTTCCTAAGTCGCCACGCTCGCGGCATTTTTATGACAAAAAATTTCATCCCTAGGATTAGCCGTCAAGTCCCCTCGACCACAGGATTTTCATCACTTCCAATTACCATATTTTGTACACTTGTTTGGCATTCTCAGTTTTCTTTATTGTGCATACATTTTTATGCTAACGTTTCAGCAAGAAATGGGGTTGACTCAGCTTGCACAATTGTCTCCTTCAATAGTCGAAGCATCCTTCCGCGATGCAACTATTTTTCAGTTCACAATAGCTTTGTTTTAATGAGGCGCTGTGTGTGGGTGAAGAATTTTATGGACGCTCAAGTCAACGCAATTTGCACTTGGCCTGGACAAACTCGACACCTTATCAACTGGCTTTCCTGGTCGGTAGATGTCTTGCCTTCCATTGCATTTTATTGAACGCCTTTTTTGAATAATTTATTTGCAACCGAGTAAATTCACATTGCGCCTTGCAGACTGATATGATCAATCAATCACTACTAATATGTTTTTCACCCTCCCCTAGTATTAACAAAGAATTACTGTAAAACGGCCGCGTCAAATGAGGACAGAAAGGCTGTACCACAATCCGTTTGCTATATCCTCATTTTCGCTCCAAACATGCTTCATTGCAATGAGCGCACACGCCCTTCCACGAGACCATTCAATTTGCTCTCATTCTACCAGTACCTGAACTCCTGTAAAATGCATTAAACATGAATTTTTCCAGGATGATGAAACGGGTAGGAGGATTTTCAGCAGTATTATGTGCACATCTCTTGCTTGCGATTTCTTTTAATTTTTTCCTATCCGACGGCCACCTGCCACCCCATTAATTCCGACCCAACCTCTAGCCGCTTTAAGTTAAAAAAGAAGTACTTGGTTAATTTTTGCGCCTTGAATGCAAGAAAAAAGCGGCATGCCTGCCATATATTTCTTTTTGGGGAGGCAGCAGACGGAATTACATTTTATCATCAGCTCGCGCTGGTGCATCACCACCACCACCACTACTGGCATCGCTGTAAATGTCAGATTGGCTAGTCGCTCCCGAGGTGTTGTGTGGGTATGCGTTCGGGTGGTAGGACAGGTGGTGAAAGAGGTTGAGGAAGAGGAGGTGGAGAAAGAAGGGGTGGTGCCAGTAATTTCCCTCATTTGGTTTTAGACAGATTTTTTCCTCCAGTCTGATTATGCAAATATTCACCCTTGTTTCTATGATTTTTTTCTTTCTTGATAATAAGATCAATTAAATTATTAAGTTGAATCCTCTGATGCATTTATTGAGGTACGAGCACAGCTATCCGATCGCTAGAATACATTATGTTCACATAAAACAAACTGACGCTTACATTGTGGGCTAGACACCAAAAAAAAAAAACAAACAAACCAAGTAAGACAGTTTTTACCAAAGCAATGTCTACCAAAGC